GAAGATCCCCAGGAGGAGGGCACCCACTCCAGTATTCTTCCCTGAGGAATCCTATGACAGAGGAACCTGGTGGGCCACAGTCCACGGAGCCACAAAAAGTCATACGTGGCTGAAGCGACTGAGCACACGGCATTCATCGGTGTCCCAGCAACCACAGAATTCCATCAGATAGTTCAAGTAAGAGACTTCACTATGAGGCTGTTTGCAGAGGTCCAGGGACTGTTAAGGGAACCACAAGGAGTGACGTGGCACCAAGAGATGAAACAGCAAGAAGCCACTGCCATTCCTGAGTCTGAAGGAGCAGCAGGAGAGAGCATCCCCAGAGCTGGAGCCTTGAAGCAGTACCATCAGGCTGCAGCTACAGAGGTAGGGGGATAGCTCCATCGCCAGACCGCGGTGCCAAAGCGGAGACTAAGGGGGACGAAAAACCTTCATCCACCATCTCCCACCCTCTGATCTCTTGCCGACATCTCACACTGGCAGGACCCAAGCGGTGACCAAAGGGCAAGGGGCCAAGGGTGGGGCCAGCCTCCTGGGGCACAGGGCGGGATGGGGAAGGGAAGGAAACCGGAGCTGGTGGAGGGCAGGGCAGATGGAGGGGCAGCAGCACAGACTGAAGAAAATCAGCCAGGAAACGTGGCGAGCTTGCAGGTACCAGGATGAGTGCAGATGCTTGAAATCAGGGGACCTTCCTAGGAGGTGGCAGACTCAGGAGCCCAAGGGCAGGTGACTGTGGGTCAGGGAGAAGTCGAAGACACCAAATGCCCCCCTCCAGACTCCACAAGTAACGGTGCCCCCAAGATCTCACACCTGCTGCCCCAGAGGACACGGATGCTTTGAGCCGCAGGCCTGTGGTTCAACCAGCTCATTCCAGGTGCCCCTCTGAGTGTATTCTAAAAGCCTCTCCTCTCCTCCAAAGGGCTTCCCAGGTGGTGCTAGTGGTAAAGAACCCACCTGCCAATGCAGGAGACATAAGAGATGCAGGTTCAATCCCTGTGTCAGGAAGACACCCTGAAGAGGGCATGGCAACCCACTCGTCTTCTTGCCTGGAGAATCCCCATGGACAGAGGAGCCTGGAGGGCTGCGGTCCATGGAGTCACATAGAGTCAGACATGACGGAAGTGATCTTGCACGCACACACACACTCCCCTGAAACCACCACCACCTGCAATCTCTCTAGAGCCCACACAGGCTGTATCTTCAGAGCGAGACAAGGAAGAGGCAGAAACCCCCAAAAGCCCTGCTGCCCCCGCAGGTCCTGAAGCTGAGGTTCTACCAGCAGATCCCCAGCAAGCATCTATCTGTGAAGGATGCCGGAGGCGGGAACCAAGGCCATGCCTCAGTTCTTCAGATGTCCTGAAGAGAAGGCTAGAAAGTCACTGTATCGCAATTCCTCACTCAGGGATGCAGGAACCGATGCTGAATATTATTAAAAACTTGCCCGAGGTCACCCTTGAACAATCTTGTTTGGATCCCTTTCTTTCAAGCAACTCGCATTCACCTCACACCCAGGATGCGCCAGGTACAGCCGTGGACACTGGGAAGGGCGAAGTGAACAAGGCGGACAGCTCGCCCTCCCTCTGAGAGCTCCCATCCGAGCTGGGGCGGGCAGACAGCGAGCACGCAAGCAAGCAGGACTCGCCGTGAGCTTCTCCAAAGCCTGGCCGTCCAGCACTTGGACACCCCCTGAAGCCAAGCTCCGAGCATGCCCCATCACACAACGAGCCTGTTTGTTCCGAAGGCAGCACACCCAGTCGGCAGGCCCGTCTGCTGTTTGCGCCGCTCCCTCCCGCCAAGCCCTTGAAACACGTTAAATCATCACTGCCATTCCACTGCGAGTGCATTTCTCTTTTATTTTAATCCTATTATAGAATTTTTTGATGGCAACCTGCTGTTAGAGTACATCTAACTATGTTAAAGCTCCCCAGGCCCTGAGCATGAAAGAACCTCTTCAGAACACACGCTAGGACAGGTCTACCTTGTTAGCATGGAAATGAAAATAAAAAGAGCTGCTCTGGGGCGAAGAGGAGGAGGCGTGTGTTCTAATACCAACACTTAGGAGGCCATCTGGCCTTGTTCTCGCCGTCAGGCTTCGGGTGGTGGAGGCTGGATGGCGACAAGCCTTCTCTGTATTCCGCTCATGCCTGGCACTTGGTTTAGAGACCCCGTGGCTAGCAGCATAGCTTGCAACCCTGGCGCTAAAGGGCATCTGTGGTGCATTTAGGCCACAGTTGCATTTTGGTGCAAGGGCTTCAGTAGCCAGGAAAACCTGTAGGTTCCCTCCTGAGCTTTGGTGACGTTTCATTAGTGAAAAGGAAATATATATAAGTGAAATAAGCAGGCGAGCACCTTCCTTCATCTGCAGTTATGCAAACAGGAGCCACCCCAGCGTGGTCCAAGTAACAGCGTCCCAGAGAAGACTGCCTCCACAGTCCTTAAACAAAGTTCCACTTGCAGGCTGCCACAAGAACGTGTACCTTGGGTAATTATTTCACTCTAGAAAATAGTAATACGCACGCCATCGTTTCTTGGCAGTATGAATTAGAAATACGCAAGGCAGCAGAGCCTTCTGGGCCTCAGCCTCCAGGCCCAGAAGAATAGCGTGGATGCTATAAATAAAATCAATAATTGAAGTCTGTCTGAATAACAGATGGGTAGACTTGTTTGCACTAGTGGAGGAGACGACGGTCACTAGCCACCCCTCACGTGTTCCGGAAGGCCAGCCCCTGTGAAAATTGTCTGTAAGGATCAGCCTCTCCTGGAAGGATGATGCATTTTTTAGGATGTTTGGAGTCCAGGATCCAATGTTAGGTCTCGCTGCTCATTCAGGAGTCCATATAAGGAGTTAGAATCATTAACATCTTCTAAACATTGTTTATGGACTTTTTTTTACTATTAATAACAACAGAAATTGCACCAAGAAGAGCAGATTGTTTTCGAGAGAGTTTGGCCAAATGATTTCCATGTGTGGGTGGGCGCGTATGTATGCACGCAACCCCAAGACTCCTCACTGATATGGGGGAGCAATATACAATTCATCCCCTTAAAGGAAGACATACTGAGTCAGTCCTTCAACCCAAGTGGGGGCGGGGGGGGCACATATATTTAACAGCCACTGAGGCACGAGGCATTCAGAATGGACTCTGGCCTTACCAATACATTTGTCATGAGCACAAGTCCTGCATTAGCCCTTCTGAGGCTCTCCTGTAGATGGAGCATTTATTTATTTCATAACAAGCTCTTACTACTAAGTGGCCTATTCCCAGATAGCACAGTGGGAAAGAATCCACTTGACAATGCAGGAAACACAAGCGACGTGGATTTGATTCCCTGGAGGAGGAAATGGCAACCTGCTGTAGGATTCTTGCCTGGAAGATCCCATGGACAGAGGAGCCGGGTGAGTCACAGTCTGCGGGGTCGCACCGAGATGGACACGGCTGAGCACACACACACAGGCCACACGGGAGCCAGGCTTAGGTGTTAGGGACTCACAGAAGAAAAAGGACGGCCCCTGCCCACAAGGAGTTCAGAAGGTAATAAAGGAGACAAAACTCACACAGAAACAGTACACAACACAATGCACGCCTGCCCTGACAGGCTTACATACCAAGTTACAGGCATTGAGAAGATGCAGATTATTTATAGCTCGAGTAAACAAGGAACTTTGCATGGAAGAGGTGGTATTTAAAATAAGGTTTGAAGAATAGCTGGGATTTTGACATGGTTATGGACTGAACGTCTGTGTCCCCCCTAAATTCCTATGTTGAAGCCTTCGCTCCACCCCCTCATGATAGTATTTGCTGGTGGGGCCTTTGGTTGGCAATTAAGTCCTGATGAAGTCATGAGTGTGAGGCTGCCATGAAGGGATCAGCATTCTTACAAGAACAGGAAAAGCCCAGAGCATTCTCTTGCCTCCTTATGCGAACACATAGTAAGACAGCAGCTGTCTGCAAGGCAGGAACCAAATCTGCCATACCCTGATCTTGGATTTCTCAGCCTCCAGAACTGCAAGGAGCCAATATCTATTGTTGAAGGCACCCAGTCGATGGCATTTTGTTCCAGCAGCCCAAGCAAACAAAGACAGATGTGGACAGGCGGGAAAATGAGCATCCCAGGGGAGGGACAAATGGAAGCAGTCAGAAGTGGGAAAACGCTGGGGCAGATTCAGAGGGAGCGATTCAGCTTGCCTGCCTCCCAGGACTCGTGAAGCCTGGTAATNGATGGCATTTTGTTCCAGCAGCCCAAGCAAACAAAGACAGATGTGGACAGGCGGGAAAATGAGCATCCCAGGGGAGGGACAAATGGAAGCAGTCAGAAGTGGGAAAACGCTGGGGCAGATTCAGAGGGAGCGATTCAGCTTGCCTGCCTCCCAGGACTCGTGAAGCCTGGTAATCAGAAACTCAACTGGGCAGGTGGATGGGGGTCAGACCGTGACGAGCCACGAACAGCAAGGGAAGGCTTCTGACCTGGCCCTGGAGAGCCTGGAGCACAGTCAAAAATTATTTCAGCGGGAGAGTAACACGATCGGAGCTTCATCATCAGTCAACTCAACCGTATTTTCACCTTAACAGGTAACAGTGGCAGCGACTGACCCCAGAGAACCAAGCTCAGCTGCATAAGGTCAGGCAGTGGGTGGCCTGTGCCCCCACGCGCCTGAGCCGGAGAAATAACCGCTTATTCAAGCTGTCAGTCACCAAGTCGCTCGAAGCACCCTCCACGTGGGAATGACAGTGAATACTTCTCCTGCTCAGTTCTTAGCAGCAGGATTTGCCCTGCTCCACAGCTGTCATCCGGGACCAGGACAAAGAGGAAGCTTAAGAGGATCTGAGACAGGAGTCTGCAGACGCTCCCATTCTCACTGGCCGTTTCCGTGAGCTTGGCTGACCGTGCCGGTCAATGTTGACTTTTTTTTTTCCTGCATGAAATAGAAAAGCAGAACTCTGTTGATTTTTGTGTTTTATGGCTGATCGATGTGGGTCAGAGTGAGGGCTTTGAGACATGCCGAGGGGGAGGAACTGGGCTGGTTTTTGATGGCCTCATTTGTGGCATGTCTTCTTCTGGGAGAGAGGGAGGTCAAGGTGAATCCCTCTTTCAGACTCAGATGACTCAGGCGACGTCACCCCTGGGCAGAAGAGGCAATGGTGGGGGCGTTTCCAGCCAGGCTGAGTGAGGCGAGGTGACATTTAAGGGCTTTGAAGAAACGCAGCACTTCCGGCAGAGGGACCCTAAATTGCACCTGCGTTTCTGCAGGCTCTTCACTTGCTTTTTATATCCTTGCAGGCTGTCTCTGGAATTGCTGAAAGGTGGAAAAATCTGCACATTCCTTAGGCGTTTGGCAGCCAGGCGGGGAGGAGAGTGATGAGAACCAGGCTCTTCAGGAAACAGGTATGTATCATTCTAACCCCAAGCGTGCTACCATTTGCCAAGCTTCAAAATCTTGATTTCTGGAACAACACTGCTAATAATAATAATAGATTTCAACTGTTAATTAGCCTCTAGATTAAGTGTTTTGAAAGAAAAGTGAAAGTGTTAGTCGCTCAGTCGTGTCCGACTCTTTGCGACCCCATGGACTATAGCCCACCAGGCTCCTCTGTCCATGGGATTCTCCAGGCAAGAATACTGGGGTGGGTTGCCATGCCCTCCTCCAGGGGATCTTCCTGAACCAGGGATCAAACCCAGGTCTCTAGCTTGCAGGCAGATTCTTTACCATCTGAGCCACCAGGGAAGCCCCACTAAATGCTTTGCTGCTGTTGTTAAGTCACTTCAGTCGTGTCCGACTCTGTGCGACCCCATAGACAGCAGCCCACCAGGCTCCTCTGTCCTGGGATTCTCCAGGCAAGAACACTGGAGTGGGCTGCATTTCCTTCTCCAACTAAATGCTTTACTTATGTCCAATTGCATTTAATCCTCCAAGTAACCTCTGAGGAAGTGATGACTGCTTCCATTTTATGGGAGAAACCAGAGCTCTGACAGGTTGCGTAGCTGATCCAAGGTCACAGGGAAGCAAGCTGCAGAAGGCACTTGAGCCCAAGCCCCACCCTCTCAGCACCAGCCATGCTGTCTCCTCGCTTCACTCTTCTCACCTGTCTTATGGGGATGACCATCACAAGGATCAAAACCGCACACAGCCACAGTGTGAGTTGACAGACCTTGCAAACCATGGAGGCTGGTGAATACACAACACCACCGCCCTCCAAGCCACTCTGCTCTCTTTTGTTAGGGACCCATAGGATTTAGATGAGAACGTGCTTCCAAACAGCAACCCACTCCAGTATTTTTGCCTGGAGAATCCCATGGATAGAGGAGCCTGGTGGTCTACAGTTCATAGGGTTGCAGAGAGTCAGACAAAACTGAAGCAACGTGGCATGCACAGGTGCTTCCAAAAGCCAAAAGGTGTTACAAACACAAGTATTACTATCATGCACATTTCAAGATTCCTCGAGCCTGACGCTCTATTGTATGAAGGCATCAGGGAAGCAGGGGGGCCTTCTCTGGGATCCCCAGGAATCATCTGACTAGGTAAGGAGGTTAAGTGGCCTCTTGAGCAAAAGCAAGAGGGGAGGGACACGTGCAGAGATCCATCTGCTGCATTCGACAGTTGGAGCAGAGACGGACGCGCCCAGACCCCAGCATCGCCCTCCCCTTCAGCCCAATGGAAGCTTTTTCCATTGTTCTATCCCCTCCACACGGTTTGACATTTCCTTCTCCAACTAAATGCTTTACTTATGTCCAATTGCATTTAATCCTCCAAGTAACCTCTGAGGAAGTGATGACTGCTTCCATTTTATGGGAGAAACCGGAGCTCTGACAGGTTGCGTAGCTGATCCAAGGTCACAGGGAAGCAAGCTGCAGAAGGCACTTGAGCCCAAGCCCCACCCTCTCAGCACCAGCCATGCTGTCTCCTCGCTTCACTCTTCTCACCTGTCTTATGGGGATGACCATCACAAGGATCAAAACCGCACACAGCCACAGTGTGAGTTGACAGACCTTGCAAACCATGGAGGCTGGTGAATACACAACACCACCGCCCTCCAAGCCACTCTGCTCTCTTTTGTTAGGGACCCATAGGATTTAGATGAGAACGTGCTTCCAAACAGCAACCCACTCCAGTATTTTTGCCTGGAGAATCCCATGGATAGAGGAGCCTGGTGGTCTACAGTTCATAGGGTTGCAGAGAGTCAGACAAAACTGAAGCAACGTGGCATGCACAGGTGCTTCCAAAAGCCAAAAGGTGTTACAAACACAAGTATTACTATCATGCACATTTCAAGATTCCTCGAGCCTGACGCTCTATTGTATGAAGGCATCAGGGAAGCAGGGGGGCCTTCTCTGGGATCCCCAGGAATCATCTGACTAGGTAAGGAGGTTAAGTGGCCTCTTGAGCAAAAGCAAGAGGGGAGGGACACGTGCAGAGATCCATCTGCTGCATTCGACAGTTGGAGCAGAGACGGACGCGCCCAGACCCCAGCATCGCCCTCCCCTTCAGCCCAATGGAAGCTTTTTCCATTGTTCTATCCCCTCCACACGGTTTGCATGGGAACCCAGCACGGTGTGGACATCATTAAAAGTATTGTGACTGGAGGCTGAAATGAGACACTGATCATCCAATTAAGCAACGGATTTCATAAACAAATGCGATTCATTCTGCCTGCAGCCTGACATCGCTGTCTGAGGAACACTGCTGAAAATAATGTGTCTGCCTGTGTTCTACTTAAGCTTTCGGGTGCCGAGGAGCCCCACTAAGTCACAGAGAAAGGAGTCTGCAGATGGCTTGCTGCAGCCACACAGCAGTGAACGAGCCCACACTCCCACACATCAGCCCCCCTTGCCTGGCCCCCCAGAAAGCCTCCAAGTGTCCCAGTTGCTGTTACACTGCCACGGCTACAAAGCCACCGGTGCAGCCAACCGGAGCAACGGCCTCCCGAGAAATGACAGATTTAAAGGAAGAAATACCGTGCACTTGCTGGAGGCGAGTTATTTTAATATAATGCCAAGATGACAGCTCTCCACATTTAATCATCAGACTCCCGATTTTTTTTTTTTTCCACGACATTAGACTTTCTCACAATTTGAGAGAAGGCATCTTTTCCACCCATGCCTGACAGTTGCATGTTGGCAAGAAATGTATGTAAACTTCTCCAATTATTTTTAATAAAATGTAAAAGCCTGTCTGCAGAAGCCCCCTCCACCCCTCCGCAGCCCTCACCCACAGCCAGGGGTAGCTGTGGGCCCTGCCTTCAGGGCAAGGCCCCCGTGGCTTTGTAATTTTCCTGACGGCACTAACTTGCCACTCAGAAGCCTTGCCTCCCTGTCACCCACCACTGTGACCATTTCTTTTTTTAATGGTGTCTGTGATCAGCAGCTGTCAGAGAGACTATGTGTTTGATTATCTCTTCCTAAATGGACCAAAGCCGCCTGCTTGCCTCCTGATCGCAAGCTCAGCCTCGTCTCAAAGTCCGACGGCCATTACAAGGGACATTTGCATGTAAGTCCTGAGTTTGTTAATTCACACGAGGCCCCCTCAGGTAGGTCTGTACGGTTCTCATGCCTGTTTATTCTTAACAGATGAGAAGCCAGAAGGGAGACAAGTTATGTCTTAATTAAGGATGCACAGCCCGATGGAATCACAGCCAGAACCCACACCCAATGCACAAGCGACTGTGTATGTCTTCTTTCCCCAAACTTTCAAAGGGTATCTACTGTCTGGAGGCCCTGAGGATGCAAAAATAAATAAGATAGATATCCGTCCTTCTCTAGAGGAGCTAACAAGGTAATAGAGCAGGCAGACAAGTGAATAAAGAATACGAGTACATGTGAAAGGCAACACAACCCAGGTAAGCTCAAAGCGCGTGGAAACGGTTCCAAGACCTAGCAGTGCCTACGGGTTGGGGAAGCGTTCACGGAGATGACCGCGGAGCCAGGCCCTGCAAGGACGGTCAGGGAGGCAGGAGGGCCTCCGCCCGCCGACAGGCGAAACCACAGGAACTAGAGCAGGAGACCTGAGGCAGCGTGTAACGCGTCACAAGCAGAGCATCTTTAGGGAGCAAAGGGCCCAGTCCCCGCCGTCCGGAGTGGAGGGAACGTCCGGGCCCTCGGGAGGCGGAGGGAGGAAGTTGGCGGTCAGAGGATGGAGGACTGCAGCGGTTCTCTAATCGCCGCTGCTCTGTTAATAATGATGCCCGTCCCAGAGAAGGTGGACTAAGTCCTCGTATGTCAGCAAGCCTTCTCTGCCCTTGACCCAAGAGGGAGCAGCGCAACCCGCGGGTCGAGGGGCCACTGCCCCGGGTGATAAGCCAAGCAGGGCGCCTCCGAAGGACACAGCGACCTCCGAGACCGAGGAACCCAGGCCACCCCCCGGGTGACCGGGAGAGGACTCTGCTCTCCGCGGAGGAGCCGCCGCCCACGAGCCGCTCAGAGCCTCGCGCACCTTCGTTCACAGCCTTCTCTGTTGACTGCAGCGAGGGTCTCTCAAGAGAAGGGGGCTGCATCAGCACCCCGGCCTTGTCGCCTGACCGAGCAGTGCTGAGGCGAGGGCTGGCCGGCGCCCTGGGGAGCGGGCTGGGAGCCCCCCGAGCCGCCAGCTCCCTCCTGACCCAGTGTTACCTCTCCCCGGGGTGCACGGCAGGGGCTTGGGCAGCAGCGCTCTGGATCATGACAGGAGGCGTTTTGCAGACCTGGGTTAGCTCCTGGCTTGTGTTCTGGGTAAAGAACCAGTGCTTCTTCGCGGCCATCTGGGCTCCAAAGCGCCACTCCCCAGAGACAACACGCGGGGAGTGTTTGAGTCTAGTAAGGGTGTCCCCAGAGACGAGCGACATTTCCAGCCCGGTCACCAGCCGTGTTTGACAGCGGGCACCCCGCCCAGCACCCCTGGCAGTGCTACTGGAAAATTCACCTGGTACTCGCAGGCCGCCTGCTGGGTCCTCGCTCTGCTAATGCAAAAATAACGTCCCAACAAAGCCCACGCCTGCTCCCGGGCGACGTCCGGGATCCCGCTCCGCACCCATCGCACCTAGGCTGTCTTTGCAGCTTCCCTTCCTTCCCCTTCCACGTGCTAAACTGAGATAGGAAGGAAGCTGAAAGAACCCGCCTCTTCACCTGCGCTCCACTTCAAAGGAAACATGCAATCTCTTGAGGTGACTGCATTTATTCCGCCACAGCTCAGTATAAGCACCGCCCTACCAGCTCACGGCAGGTTCCAAATGACAAATTTTGAGGGCTATTGAACACGCTGCGAGTTTGCCGAGCGGATCCGTGGAAAGTTACTTAGCACAGCTGTCTCGGTAATTGTGACACATTAGAGGAGTGTGCCCGGGCCTGGAGCCCGCCGGGGCCGTGGGACAGTCTGGGCTCTGAGATTCGGCTCCACAGCCCATGAGACCAGCAGG